CTAGCTCCATGCACAGATTCCTTTGTGGGTTATATTTGGAACTGCACCTGTGGTTGGAGGTGATGCGGACAGGAAGATCGTTTGTCTTTCACTCAACTGATTGAGCCTTTTGTAATGATATTTCTAGGATTGTCCATCTACATGAACACATCTGTTTCTTGAACTTGTGGCTTTTTAAAGGGAGGAAACTGCATTAGACACACACAAAAGCATTCTTAAGGCCAGTGTTTATGTAGAGCTGCCTGGTGGAAATTGCTCAAAAACATTCCCACAAAAAGAAGGGTTCAGGGTCAACAATTCCCAATACCGATGGATACTATAGTCATCTTTTTTTAAAAAAAATGTCTGCAGCCAGATGGAAAACATCTCCTGGTTCTCCCCTGGGTTCCTGTTAAGCTCTTACACTACCTGACTTGTTTTACTTAAAAAAAAGACATTAGGAACCGTCACAATGCAAAACGAAGCCACCAGCAACATTTGCATTTCTAAGTAAGTCTGTGTGGGCCCTTTAACATTCTTAGCACACGATGGGCGGCTGTTACTCAGTGTCTTGTTTGGAAGGATGCCTGACTTCCAGAGATAAACATAAATGGGTTATTGTAGACATCATCTCTCTTAGGATGGGGGTGGCAGATGGCATTCTGGTAAATCAGTGTTTCACGAAAGGTTATGCCCCCTACTGTCTCAGAGATCTTCTGACACTCTGTCTATGGGGAGCTTGCCCACCAGTAGCTGTTCTCGAGCGTCTTCCTCCTTTAATTTCAGAATCCCAAATCACTCACAGCTTGCAAAATGTTGGGAGACCCCACATCTACTTTTCATGCTCCGTTGTAGGCAATGAGCTCACTGCACTGGGATAATGTCCACACATGGAAATTTAAATCAACCTCTGTTTGTAGGCTTAACCTATGATTAGCAGCGATTGAACATGATTGAACATGAACAAAGCCCATTCCTTAAGTGTCCGTAATACATCTGGTTGAATGTTGATTTTGTAGGTTTTTTAAATGTGAGAGTTTGTGGGCTGGAAAGCAACCTAAAAGGCAGGAGAGGAGTTCCTGAGAAACAAGGATTGTGAAAATGTGATTTCCTGCATCCCATTGGACAGCTCTTCTGCTTATCTCTGTTTGAAAATACGGGGATTCTCTCCGCCACCGATTCCTTCCTGCTCGGCGAATGTTAGAAACCTGAACCTACAAGCAAAGCATAAAGCCATCATTACGACTTCTGTACTGGTGAGCCTCTAAACATTCCTTCTGGTTAGCTAATATCACATGCTACACCAACTTGGGATATTAAAAATGCCACAAGGTTCCACTCAGAAAGCAAATGTGACTCTTCTCTAAAAGGGATTTCGATCACAGGGTGTTGCCTATTCGCCACATTGATTGCAAAGCACAGACCTATCACCTGAGTCCATATGGATTCCGTATCTGCAAAACTCACAAGACACCCCACTTGCAAAGGGCGTTCAACGCTCACTTACTCCTTCGCCGAATTTCTCCCCATTTGCAAATGTTTGATTTCCCCCCCCCCACCTACATTTCTATAAATCATTCCTTTCTAGTTTTTCTTTTTCTTTTGTAAAAACCACTGATCTTTTCTTCTTCTTTTTTTGCATCTATAAATCTCTCATAAAAGCAGTGAAAATGAAAACAGCCATGCCTCTGAACTGCATGTCACAAAAAAAAGGGGCATTGAATTAGAACTTCCATAAAACATTCAGTCATACAGAAAACAGCTTACTCTAAAAACACTTTTGTTGTGGTGGTTATCAAAAACAAAGGCGGGAGAGAGTGGGGAAGAAACTAGTCACAATATGTTCCTTGTAAACGTGTGTCCTTCACTTAAATAACCGGCTTGCACACTTGACAGATCTCCAGTGTGCTTTCACGTCCATCCCTGCAGTTTAATGCAGGTCAAGTAGGACCTTCAAGAAAGGGTACTGTGGTTGAATCATATTGTTAAAGGGATGTGCTCATCAAACGTTCAGGCGCTCTCTACAATTCAGGCCAATGAGTTTCACAAGCAGGTTCAACAGTTTCCCAGTCAGCGACCGTTCCACCATTGGCTATAATCCTCTATTCAAGCGAGTCACTGTGCTCCAGGCCAAGATCGCTGACGTTAGTTGTCTGGAGCTCCTCGGGATCCTCTTCCAGTTCCTCCTCCTCCTCCTCTTCTTCCTCCTCCTCCTCTTCTATTTCATCTTCCTCCTCATCTTCCGTCCCATCGAGTGAGTCATCGTGACCCGCCATCATGGCTTGCTGCATAGCGATGGTGGCGTTATCGGAAGAGAGGCTTTGGAGGTTATCCATATTGATGGAGCCTAGAAGGAAAGGCAAAGAGTTGATATGATGACTTTGGGGCCAGGCATCCAAGAATCCTCTTAAGGTCCCAAATGCAGGGCGGTTGATTTACGTTTTTTTTTTTTAAGTACAGTAAAATAAATAATACAGAGAGTGAAGCAATATCTATTGCCTCTAAAGCAGGGGTCCTCAAACTTTTTTAACAGGGGGCCAATTCACAGTACCTCAATTGGGGGGGGGGGCTGGACCGGCTGGGTGGGTGTGACTAGGTAGTCATTCAACAGGATTGGTGTGGCCAATTTAGCAGTTAAGGCCTGGCTGTCCCAGCAAGCCTGGGGTTGAGTCTCCCCCCCACTACTCAAATTTGCTGTGCTTGCTGTGTTTTTTTTAACTGTTATATCTCTGTCCTGTTTGTCTTACTTTCTGTATTTGTTTTTCCCCTTCCCCTGGTTTTTGTTC